CTGACTATTTGGTGTTAAAAAAGGTTTCATAATAACCAACAGTAAAACCCACGACTAAGAACCTGGTTTTTAAGAACCTGTTAGGCTAGGCCCCCTCTCTATAAGAGCCTGTTTTGCCTAAAGTTTGAAACAGGTTCTTATTTTCTAAAATCTGTATAAAAAACTCTGTACACTTGGGCAAATAACGTAAGTCTACATTCACAATCCTCTTTGGAGACATAGCCATCTTACACTCCAGCTGCAATGTAATGGTGTGTAGATTTTATAAACGAGCTGCACACAACTAATACTCTTAGCTTCAATGTATTTCTTTCTTCAGAAAATAAGAACCTATTTAAGAACCTACATAGCCTTAATTTGTGTTTATTACTATTTATGTAAGAGCCTGTTTAGGCTAACTTGGGAAAATCCATCCTCTTAGTCGCAGGTTTTTACTGTATTTCCTTCAGGAGCTATTATATCCTTGGAAAAAAATGAGGGACTCGGTAGAATCTTATCAGACAAAACTATACTTGCCAAGGAACTATCACCAAATAATCAGTTGTTATATTAATGACTGCCATTAGAAATATTTCTAGTTTAGATTTCGAAAGTAAATGACAAACGTTTCCAAAAGTTAAGTCGATTATGAAATATGTATTCAACAAAATAAAACAGGGCACCCGAAAAGGGAGTATTATAAAATAACTTCTTGTTACAAGAATTTGGTGGTTCTCATTTTTGTGAAACCAAATTGAAAAAGTAAAACATCCATACTCAAAAGAAAGTGGCAAAAATTGCTGTCCAATGCATTGTAAGATGTCATGCCAAAATAAGGAGGAAAATTTCTTCCAGGTGTAACTTACGAGGTATGGAACGAAGTATCTGTGTTAGAGACCTTTCCTTTGTACATACTCCAAGAATATGACACAAATAGGAAGGGGACCAACTCTAAAATGAGGGTTTAAAGACTTGACTGCAGTGGCTAATCTTCAACAACGACTTTTTGTGCAACAATGATGTAGCCTGCGAAAACAACCATCTCTCCTCCCTTCTCGCCACTAGAGAAGTTTCGCCAAGTGGGACGTTTGCGCCTCAACGACAGAAATTCCATACTGATGACGTAAAATCTGTTGGGAATACGGTCAGGTGTTCTGATTGGTCGATGTAGTAGTTAAAAAAATTGTAATTGTAAAAAATTGTTTTAGCTATTGTTTCTGAACGACAGACAAAAGACACAGGGTCTCAAAGCTAGACCAAGTGTAAATGTGATTAATAAACTAAAAAACAGTGAATATTTACGGAATGTATTCTTCTTTAGAAAAAGCATTTGAGTTTTTCTGGAGCTTGTTTGCAGAACACAAACCCATAATCAAGCAGGAGAAACATAAAATCAAACAAACTTACATTTGGACCCCCATTACAATCAAATTTATAACCTAAATATTGATTTACGTCATAAATTTGGAATTTCTGTCAAAAGCAGTGAAGAGTGAGTAGAGACCGCTGTTTTCGTAACCATGCTCTGTGTTTTGTAAACCCTTTCACTCTCAAAGTGAATAATGGGGGTCATGTTAGATGCTTGCATACTTTGATGTCTGTGGCAGAAATCTTGTGATGCGAAAATTCAAATCAAATCTAATTGGGAGTACGTACACAAAGTACTAACTTCTTTTCAGCACATGACCAAATTAGATTTGGAATTTTTGTCACATTTTATTTTATCTACAGAGAGTAACAGTTAAACCCCCCATTTCTCACAGTTGCTATGCAGAACAGGATGTAACTGATATAACTTCTCTTGAGACCCAAGCATGATATAGGATTTACATCACATGCAAATTCAGAATAAACTTCTTGCTGTAATAATTGCGTGGTAATTCAAGTTACCTTTGAATTTACTTTCGAACAATTTAATTTTGCTGATACTAGGATTTAAAGGTTTTTAGTTATAAGTAGTTTTGATCTAGAATCCAAATTTTAACAATTTGAGGTGTAACAGATGCTGAAACTTTCTTACCATAGTCATTCTGAAATTTCTAAAAGAACTCTTGAAAATACATTTTGTTACCCCTGCAACTGCATAGCTTTAGCCTGCACCAAAGACAAAAATTAACCTTCACAATGTGACTTGCAGGAGGTTAATTACATCTGAGATGCAGACTACATATAACTTGTGTGGTCCCAATTATCATTCCAAGACAATGTTGTGGGTTTATTAACCGTGGTAATTTTCACACCATTTCCAATTTACCGTTATTGGATCCTCCTAAACTACCAATCTGCAAATTAAATCCCCACAACAAATACAATAATGGTAAATTCTTGGCCCTGTTTACCTGTTTCATGTCAAAAATGTCACTTAAAAAAAAAACACTGTCTTTTATAAAGTAGTCACCACTGATATTTTGGGCATTCAAATTTATGGATGATAATATTAATACCAGAGCCTCCCATATTGGCATTCTGTAAATACTATTATGATGATAATGATAAAAATAATAATAATAGTAATATTATGATAATTTGATGCTATACTATTTTGATATCTTGTTCAAAAAGTACTTGTCTCAAAAGATGCATTGGCAGAGGAAGTTTCATGGCATTCTTTGTTTTGTCTGGTTTCAGGTAGTTCCTGATTGCCGCAGAACACTGTAGTTGAAGTGTTCTTGGCCTTCGCTGGATATTTTCCATCCAGTCTCGAAGTCTTGAATCAGTCACAAATCTTTCCGCTGTTAATCCAAGGCAATTTTGAGTCCATAAATTGGCATTAGCTTGAATAAGTCTTTTGATGCACATTGTATGACTATGTCTTGCTGCTAAATGTAATGGTGTATCATTATAAGACGTCCCTTGGGTTACACACACTGTTTTAGCATCCACATCACCACCATATCTGCAAAATACAAGAATTAACCGTTTAAAACCCAATAGTGATCAACATCAATTTTCTCCTAACAATATCCACAGATTGTCAAGTGCAACATCTATGAGAATTAATCAAGCAATCAAAAAGAGAAAAATCTCTGATCTTTTAACAATTTCTCCCAACTAATTCTGTAAGGAAATGTATAGAGATCAGTTTGGAGAATTTGTGGATATTGGGGCTTAAAGGGTTAAGTCAGCCACTGAATAAATCTGAAAAATACATTTGACCGTTACTTATATCCACTCCTTTTTGAACCTTGGAATACTGCCTTGTACAAAATAATAATCAGTACCACTGGGAAGTACACCTTAGCGTGAAATGTCACTCTAAAATTTATGGATTCAAAAATACATTGTAAGAACCACATTGTATAGCATGATAAACAGTACCACAAGAAAGTACACCTTCACTTGAATTGTCAGTCTCTAAAAATTATGGATTCAAAAATAAGAACCATTTTGTACAGCATAATAAACAGTACCACAGGAAATTACAGCACAGTAGCTTTCATCTAAATCCCAACTCTTTCCAATTTCATACACTGTCAACTCAAAAGATAACTGCAGTAAACAGTACCCAAGAAAAGTACTGCTCAGTAGTAACTTTCATACAATTGGTCATATCAGTGAGCATGATTCACCAACTCGAGAGTTTCAAGTGCTTTCAGAAGCAACACATTAAAGAGCTTCTCATTGTTTATAATGCCAATTTGGCGTAGAAGTAAATGGTGAACAAGTCAAGATAAACTAACAATACAAAACCTAAATTTTCAATCTGATTAATATTCCCTTTTAAGTCAAGAAAAATTATTGAGAAGATGAGTATGGGAGTTCACAAGCAAACAGAAAAGGGCTAGCAAAGCAAAATAAGTGATTTCTGTACAATGGTTGCATGACCACAGAAGTTGTAACAATATAGATAAGAAGCTTACATGTCTGCATTCCAGCATGTACAAGGTGGTAAAGATAGATTATAACCTTGCCCTTTCGGGAGAGTAGAATTTTTGCGGTTCTTAATGCAACTCTCATGTAACTTTTTCGTAATGTCAACACATTTCTTTGTAAAGCTTGGCTTATCACTACACAATTTTGCTAGGTGTTCAGCTTGTGTGATGGACACTTCTAAAAACTCTGACCAGTAAACTTTCAAAAAAGGAAATTGTTATACACATATATATTATCATACAATTTAATCCTTTTGTAATGTGCTCCACACTGTGCCAACTGAAATTGAAGGGGTTTTGTGAGTGAAAAACTTTTGAAGGCCCATTATAACTTTTGCTCTTGCCAAGTTTAATTTTCATTCTTTTACCAGCAGAAGTAAAGGCTGGTTATTCAGGCCTTGTCCACAATAATGAGTTTTTGTTTGAAAAGGCGTACATCTTGAGGCCTTCCATTCACGCTAATATGCTAAGCGCTTTCCTGGATAAATCATCAATTTGAAAACGCTCTTGAAGGTGGATCAAAACAAGAACACATATGTATCGAATTTGTGTGGACAGTTGAAAATGCATCAAAATGAAAATGATGACCGAAAATATTACAAGGGCATGTGATTGTAGCATGCACATCACGTTCAACTTGCATCACAACATACAATTCTATCACTTTCAAATGTTTTTGAGTGCATAGTCGAAAACGCATCAGATCAGTCGTGTAGACAAGATTCAATTGATGTGTCTTCCATGACAACAAAAATGCATGCTATTGAAAATGCATTTGTATGGACAGGGCCTTATAGGAGAGTCCAGAAAGTTATCAATTCACTTGTTGTTTTCTTGGAGCACCTCTTCAATACTACTACTGCTACTGCTACTGCTACTACTGCTACTACTGCTACTACTGCTGCTACTGCTGCTACTGCTGCTACTACTGCTACTGCTACTGCTACTGCTACTGCTACTGCTACTGCTACTGCTACTGCTACTGCTACTGCTACTGCTACTGCTACTGCTACTGCTACTGCTACTGCTACTGCTACTGCTACTGCTACTGCTACTGCTACTACTACTACTACTACTAATAATAATAATAGAAAAATTAATAACTCCTTTGAAAAATGTTAAATACAAATTTACCCCTGTGGTAGAACAACTGACAAGATTTCACTGACATGGGCACACCACAGAGGTTTCTCCGTAAGCTCAAAATTTAGGTCCAGCTTAGATACACTGTATGCCAAAATGTCACTAGAGCTGAGCCTGACTCAGTAGAAGATCTCACTGTAAACTCAGAATAAACAGGTTTCTTGGATATTAAGGTATATGTAAGAAATAAATTAAATACAACAATCTACTTATTAAAAAAGGTGCAAATAAGGTCCCAATAAGCACCTGATTAGAGCTTCCACACAAGACGTCCTTCCATACAATGCTGCTGAGTGCAGAGCTGTCCATCCTTCTGCTGTCTTAGAATTAACATCAGCACCTTGTCTCAAAAGAGCTTCTAAGCAGGCCAGATGACCATATTCTGCAGCATGGTGAAGAGGAACTTGGAGAATCTAAAAACAGTTATTTGAAAAACAAACTAAAGATTAAACATTGCAATTTATTGTAAGAAAGGTAAAAATCACACGTCAACAAAATATGTGAAATTTCATATATTAAAAAATAGCACCATATGATTGTTTTACTATAGAGGTTTCATTTAAATGGTTTGATCTCATTCATGTTGCATTCTTAATAATAAAGAACCTGGCAGTAAATCATAGGTTTCAAAACAGAGATTTGCACTGTAAATCAAGAAAACGAAAGCTTGCTATTTAAGTAGGAATTTAATACACACTTTGTACTCAACTGGAGCCTTGATCTGGTACTGATTAAATAGAGAAGGGATTTTATGAAAAATGGGCGTTACAAGGATTAAATGTAAATCCTCCAATAAGTACACTCCACTGGGTAAGCAACCCTGCTCCCTGATCATCTAAATCCTTTATAAACCCTCCCCTCACACAGATGTTGGTATTTACCACCTAGGGTCTCCCCACCTCATCGGTTTTTTCTTCAAACAGATTTGCTGATTAATTTTATTGTTTCAGTTGTCAGAACAAAACTTGAACTTAACAAAAGTTAATTTACTTTAAATAACTACATACAAAGCACACTGCAATTTAAACTTCAAATGTACAGCTTTGTGCATTAATATCCAGTCTATATGTGTTTGTGAATAAAACAGTTGTTATTCCCAACATCAACACAAATTAGTGATGATCCATCTAAAATTTGCAAAAATAAGGGCTCTCAATAAAATTAGTGTTAGCATCTTGGCTATAAATGAAAGCCATATCCATTTTACCTTTAGGATCATATTCAAAATGTACCCGGGCTACTGCAGTATTGTTTTCGTACACATTAACCCTCTTGGTCACAAGAGTGACCAACATCAATTTTCTCCTAACAAATACATCAATGCATAATCAAGAGAAAAGTTTGTGAGAATTAATAAATGTTTAGCATCCTGAGGGAAAATGCTTTGATCTTTTATATCCATAACCACATGCAAATTCTCCTGACTGATCCTCATATATTACCATAAACAATAAGTTTCGAGAATTTGATAAAAGATCAAAGCATTTTCCCCTAGGTGAACATTTTCTCTTGATTATGAGATAAACTCATTCTTGTACTGACTAAACACCTGGTTCAGGACAACATTTGGTATAATTTGGGATCTATAGACCTCATTTGATAAATTCCTAGGACCTGATTGGAAAAGGAAGAGATGAGGTTGAAATTTGGCAATTCCAGTATCCAACATCACAGTATAAAGGGCACAGCAAAAGCAAAAATGGTGAACTGTACTTTATGATTAGTTTTACCCTAAGATACCAAAAATGCTTGGAATTAAAGCTACACATGGGCAACCAGTCTGGGAACTGTGTCAGAAATAATTGTTTTATCTTAATGACCTAAAAAGATTTGATAAATTTAGAGAAACAGCTTAAAACGTTTTTTCCCATATCTGAATTATTTCACGCAACCAACAAATGATAAGCTTTATTGAATAAACAAAATAACACTAGCCTCAGGAAAAGGTAATCCACTCAAATTTGGAATTAAATCATAAGCTCAAAAAATAACTAACCAACACAGTTTCTACCATGTAAACTATTATCTAAAAGAACGCAGTCTGAAAACACTATTTTGGAATCCACTGCCAAACACTTTCCTTAATGTAGTTATAATGTATTCAAGCAAGCCATTATATAACTGTTTTCATTCCCTTACAACTAAATTGTTTATTTAATAGCAAACAAAATCCTGTGATGTCACCATTTTAATGTAACTACAGAATGAAATTTCGTGTGGCACTATTTGGTTTATAAAATCTAACAAAACAGGAAATTTGGTATATTTCTTGAAATAATTTAATTCTTGTAACACATAATACAAAAAACATTACCTGTTACTGAACAGGGAAAAGCTCTGTAATAAGATTTTTGCACAGCTATCATATGCAGCTTTAATTATTAGACATATTCACACAACATACATGCATGCAATAATTTATTATTTCACATAACGTCAACTTCCTCTAATAAAAGTGCTCACTCAAAACCAAACCCCACTGCTTTTTGAAAATAGCTTTCTTTCTAACAGGAAAATGCAGTGGAGCAGTGAAGTAAAGTTCTTGCTATACTGCACTACATGTGTTTCTATGTGGGCGTTGACGAACAAACACTTGAACTAATCCCATTGTTGTGGTAACCACAAAGTTAAATGGTCCCGACAGTGGTACTCATAATCATTCTCCTGAAACAAGGCATTTTTAGCAAAACTTATACATCTATTTATATTTATATCAGACCACTATTTTTTAAAGGCATTTTTGCAAAACTTATACATATATTTATATTCATATCAGACCACTATTTTTTTTTGCTTATTTCAAATGCAGAGTACTTTCAATTGTTGATGCTCTGGGGCAATCTAAAACTCTTTAATTTTGTCCTAACAAAGAAATGCTAGGAAAATACCAAACAAGTAAATAAAAGAATTCCACTGGAATACATGAAGCACCATTAGGAATTTTACAAGTATTATGAGGCTGTAAAAAATTACACAGAAAGTAATAAACTTTGAAGTGACATGCTGGGAGACACTAAAGCTCAGTCATAAACAGGGCTGTCACTGGAAGCCAGGGGCCAGGGATTTCCCGCGGCTACTATGAGTGTCTTCCCTGGCTACTGTTATTGGAAAATAAAAGAAAAATAGAACCAAAAGAAATCCCTAGCTGTTTGATTCCCTGCCTACCTGTTGTATTTACCCAGCAACTTGAAACCTTGGTAACAACTGTGGTCATAAAGTTCACAAATTCAGCTAAAAATAACACCAGTTTGAAACACGAAAACTGTAGGAAAGGTAAATCCATGTAGGACTAATAACAATATTGACGACAAAAGACCTGCTTGAATAAAATGGGGAGATATGGCATCACCTGAAACTGTTTTTGTACTACTTGTATTGCAGTAACTTTTATCACTGCCAGGCTCCTTTGATTAAAAAAGTCTGTCAAATTTTCAGATAACAAACTGTTCCTTAAAGGTTTACAATGCGTTAGTTTGTTTTCAATCTTTCACGAAAAACCAAAAAAAACAGTACCCCTAAAAAACTTTTTACCAAAACACGGCTGGTTCACTTTGCTACCAAAAATGGTCAGAATCTGGCAAAACAATGGAACAGAGAGTCTTATTTTTTCCATTCTACTTCAATCTTCAGTGAAAAACAAGGACACTGATAAGAGTCCTTAATGACCAGTGTTTGTGAGACTGATACAAAACAGACTACAGAACTTTGTGCTGATTACATTTCTATGCAAATTCTTAGAGTCGTTCTAAAGACTTGAAACACAGTTTCCATAAGCATTTAGATGAAATGTAACCTTCTGTAGTTTTTAGAATGATGGTGTAAACTTTGCACTAAGAAACCACAATAATCCAGGGAAACAATCACAGCCTGTTTGCAAAACTCTGCCAGGTGATCTTAATGAAAAAAATTAATTTTTTTGTTCATAGTACCATTTCCAACTACAATGACTATCAAGTAGGTTTTGTGTTAGTGTGCCAATAACAACATTATTGTGTCTCTGAAAAGCTTTATTCAAGCACTGTACATTTTATCCAAGACTGGCAAACTCACCCAGTCAAAACATGTTATTCTTTACCAGAAAAGCAAACAATTTTTGCTATTTTTTACTTCCTAGTAGAAATAAGAGTGTCCTAGAAAACTAAACATGCATGTTTCATTACCCCCATCCCCCCTCACCCTGTTCTTTTACTGTATGTCAGCAGTACCAAGCTGCTGTGGTGAGCACATCTCCATGACGATTGACTACTGCCAAGCCTACTTCTAAACAAATTTAATTTCTTAGCACGACAGGATGTTTGCGGCAATTAACTCATTGTGTTAAACGAATAGGGGTACTGTTATCACCACAGGGAAGTTTTAGCAGGTTAACTTCATCAGAAGGAAGATTACAAGTCCTTGAACAGTAAAAATATCATGAAGTCTTGGCGAACTGATGCAAAAACATAAACCAATGTCTTGAATTAATTGGTGGTGTTTCCCCTAGAAAATGACAGTTGGTTTAAGGGAAAGAAAAAAACACCTAGGAATGACTGAATTCATTTATTGTGGCACATGGTGACATTTAAATACCGTGAAAATTCTTAAACAAGAAAGATGCATTCAAAACAAGCCAATCTTGAACGAGTTTGGTTACAGCCCAGAAGCAATATCAGCCTCAAGATAAGAACTTAATGAAAGCTCCTAAGCACCCTGAAATATTAAAATCTTAAAAAGTGATTGCTTTGTAGCAGGCATGCATATTTCTTCAAGTCCTCAGGGCAGAAACCTTACACTGGATTTTTCCGATCTTGATTACCTTTCAATCCGAAATAACTTAACACCTTCTTGCTAAATATGAGCTAGCACATGAGTTATGAGTAATATAGAAGAGCCACATAGCCAGGTCAGGCAACAGTCTGGGGGGCTACATTTTTTGGATAATTTGCACGCTCTTTGAGATAAGAGTGATATCCCATGGCAGTGAAATTTATTATCTCATGAGAGATAACAATCTTTCAGTTCTCTCGTGATGCATGCGAAAAGTTCGAATCTTTTCTTTTTACCTTGATCAATTTCTGCTCCATCGTGCGCGTGAGAAGAAACAAGACCTTTATGTAATTTATACCTGGGTGGTGCGAATAGAAAATATCGTCGGACGAAAACGGCAAATCTGGGCACTTGAGTGCACTTGTCATGACTACATTCCCTAGAAGCGCGAATGATTAGAAGTAATATAAAACCACACCTTTACAGAGCATTCTTAGGCACTTCATAGAATAAAACCAACACAATTGGAACTTCGAATCTCGATCTCATGTGCCGGAAAACAACATGCATGTATATAAGCTTATTTCAAACTTCCATTTCTGCGCTCCAAATCAGAAGCATATGTTATGCGTCCAAAGGCGCTCGACATTCAACAGAATACAATTGGCCCGTGGCCATTAATCAAAAAATATGACAGAAAGTGCCAAATACTGCAGGAAAAAGCATAAATTGCGAGTATAAGACACAGACAGCCGCCGTCTCTGAAAGAGCGCGCGAATACAGGTCTTTGCCAGACAAAATGAATTTAATCGAAAACCTTGATTATCCCACAAGATTTCCCCTCAGTATAAACGCAGATCCATAAATTCTCCGACGTGAATGAGTCGAGAGAAAATAATCCAAAGCCTATTAAAAGTGTTTCACAGGACGCAGGAATGACGGATTATATTTAGTACAACCTGTCACAAAATACAATAAACCCCAATACAGTTAGACTTTGCGGAGACAGGATAGGTGTCTTTAAGACTTCTAGACTCAGAATACGGATAAGTGAAAATCCAACAGCTTCTTAAAAACAAAGAAGTATTCCCTATTTGGGAAGGGCATAAATTTCAACACGGGCCAAAGGAAACGCTAAACCATTCAATGAAAAAAATTAATTACGCTCGCAATAGAAGGCCAATTTTGTAAGATGTTTTTCTGAAACAGAAAAATATCTTTTCTCGTGTTTTTTGCTTGCCGAGGCCATCAAATACCTGTACATTTTTACGACTCCTGCGGAGTGAACGACCTTTTTAAAACATCAACAGAAGTTCTGTAACTGCAATTAAAATTATAGGGTTACTTGATTACGTACGAGTTCATAGCTTAATCACGGAACAGCTAGGGCCTGTCATATGGTCGCTGGTTTGTCAGTTCAAACAGTGGGATGCAAGAGTTTTTCCCTTCAAGATCAATGGGGCAATATAAAAACTCCCCCTGTAATGATCATTTAGCGATCCGTAAAACCAGGCGGACATCGCCGAGAAACATGTTCGCGTTTTCAAATTTAGAGCTTTCATGGCCTCTCGCTCCCCCCAGCTGCGAAGTTCGAACACAAAAAAAATTACGGCGAGCTAATAAACATGAGAGACGCATGCAAATGAAATGCGCTGCAAGAAAACTTTCCACTACAAGAAATAAATCACGGTTGTTCAATAAATACGATAAGACGCATAAAAACGTGCGTAGTCGTAAACTTCCAGCTCACTTACCCTCCAAGATGGTACTAAAGGAGGATCAACTTCTGCGTTATAAAGTAGTAGAAGCTCCACACACATTGTATGTCCATGGCGTACTGCCGTGTGTAGAGGCCTCCAACCACCATTTGCGGTGGCATTTACATTAGCCCCATGTTGTAAGAGCACTTCTAAGCAGTCTTTGTGTCCATTTCTCGCCGCGTAATGTAAAGCAGTCCATTGACTTCTCGTTGCGGCGTTCACGTCCGCGCCATGGTTTATAAGCGCAATCAAACAGTCCACAAATCCTTGTTCTGCTGCTTCATGTAAAGGAGTTAGCCCGTCATAGGTCGCTATATTTACATTTGCTCTATAAGTCAGTAAGATCTCAACACATCTAAACTGCCCATGTCTGACCGCCTCGTGAAGAGCTGTTTTCCCAAATCGGTGGCAACCATCGATAGGAGCGCCAGCTTTCAACAATTCACGAAGATCCTTCTTTGAGCCTTTGTAAGCGGCTCTTTTCAATTTACAGACTAAAACTTCAGGAGTTACTTCCACTTGTTCGCGCTTAGAACAAGGCGCGTTGCCCATCGTTATGGCTTTCACATACGTGATGAAAAAGAAAGGACTTAGTTCAATGTCAGAGACATGATGTCTAGCCAAATTCTACGCCAGTTTACGTTCTAATTTTGTGGGAGTACATTGAGGCGGGACACTTTGGTACCTAACAGGGGAGGAGACGGGAAGCCAGACATAAAAACTTACAAAATGTATCTTGTGGGATTCACGAAGAGGGAATCAATATAAAAAAACCAAAATTTTTCCCAACTGCATGCTCTCGGATTTTCTGTCCAAAAACACCAAATCTACTCTGGTTTCAGTCAACGAACGAAATATTTAATTGAATTTTCCTTTGATGAATAATTATCGTCCTAGGTGGTAGGGGTAGAATGACAAATAAATACTAGGGGTGAGGAGGGCAAAAGTCATAATAAAGATGTCAAACATTTATAGCTTATTATCGCCTGAAAATAACGCTGTATTAGACGATAAATATACTGCTGGGTAAAAAAACCCACACACGTCAGAAGATGCGTTGTTTTTCGAGGAAAAGCTATCTGTAACCGTGAATTTTTGGACATAAATATTGCGTGAAATTACACTACCCCGGTACACTATATCTCCCTTTGTGGTTCCGACCGCCAACTTTTGATAGGTTCGCGCACGGTGTTTTTCAAAGATGGCGCCCGAGGTCATTCGATAGGAGTGCAAACAAAAGAGGAACAGGATTTATCTAATTTTTGTTGACTTACAAGTTCAGCTAAACTATGACGAAAATGAAAGATGCTTCTCGTGATAAGCTTGCTGAAGGTATCGAAGCAGACGGGCATTATTATTTTGCTAATTGAAGGTAACAGTTTCGCGATTTAGCTCACATCCTTTTAGAATTTCTGACGTGCGCGAGTTTTGGCGTCTCGGTGCGGTGCAGCGTATATGTGATCGTTTCTAAGTTTCAAGCACTTCAACGAGGAACGCAAATGTGTCATACGCATAAATATTAGATCAGTTCTAGACAAAGCGTCAGTATTTGTTCTATCGGCTTCCTTTCTCAAGGACGTATAGTATGCCCTCAGGTCAATTACCTATTCTTTGATAGGCGCCAGACTTTCTGTGCATAAAATTTACTCGCCCAAAAATCGACCCTCTATGGCGGCACACGTGCGCAAGGAAATTGCTTCATAATTGCCTCTGTAGCCAATTCCTCTCTGCTGTCGCATACCTCGAGGAGGGGAAAGGTGGTTTCTTTCGATTATGCAAAAATTGTTGAGGTTTTTTTGGAACTTTCTCGTGCTGGCAAGTTGTGGATTTGACATGCGAATATTGAGTGTTTGTGATTTATCATTACCTTCGAAAGGAAAAATTTGCACGGAACCATCGGACGTGTTTAATTGCTACAGTGTTTTTCTGCGAATTGACGCGTAACGAAAGCTTCTAACTCAATGGCTGTTTAAAAGCAATTCATTGCTAATGAGTTTAAATTCTATTTGAAGTAAAATTTGTCGTCATCCTCCGACTGAGGTGAAAAAATTGAGTAAGTTTCTCACTGAGATGGCCACCGTGGAATCGTTTCCAAAGTGAGACCAGTGGAAACTCCCGTTTAGCTCAAATGTCAACCATTGCGTAATTTGTGGGTTTTATATGTTTCTTAAGATGTACACTTGACCTTCGAAACAATAGTATGGTATCGATCTTTGGTTATGTCTTTTTTGTTGGTAGACCAATTTCTATATAAAATATCCTTAAGAATGCGAAGCTTCAACAGCTTTTAGTAAGGGTGTCAGTTTGTAACAATTGAAATATTGGCAAATGGATTACTAAAGAGACCTTTTGTAGGTTGAGCTCGTCACTAAAGAGCCTGACTGTCTAAGGTGAAGAGACAGCCCGTCTTGTGGAAAGTTGTTTGCGAATGCCCTTAAGAAAAACTTCACATTTTCTATTTTAATGTCTCTCCAGATGCACGCATATTATAAATGTTTAAAAATTTTAAGGTGTCCACTAAATTGGGATATTAATGCAGAAAGCTTAAAAGCAATATATTTAATATGTATATATTTATACTTATACATGTTGCATTTCAGCTGATTTTAGTTCGGCATATATGTATCCAGACATCATTAAGAAATACACCATCTCTCTGGCATCTGTGTAAGAATAACAATTGCTGGTTAAAAAACACGATAATATTCAAGATGCAGTGGTGTGAATTTTCAATTTCTGTGTGATGCCTAGTTTGGAATAAAATTAATAGTGTATCTGAAGACTTTTGAGCAGTGATTTGTTAGTTTTAGAGAAGTATGTAAGGGTGGCATCATCTTACGAAATAAAGGGGAATATTAAAAATCACAAGTTAATATGCACTGACAGAATTAAGATTGTGTATTTTCTAGTTTTAGCTCCGTATTAGAGTTTAATATATTTTATAAGAGGGACATTAGAACCTGACTATTATGCAAAGGTGAAAGCCTGCTTTACTGAACTTTTATTTATCAAACTTTTTTACCGAGTTTTTTTTTTTTCATTTTAGTATTCAGACTGGTCGAAACCATAACAATGTTACCCTTGAATTAACATAATTATCAAACATGGTATGATAATTTTTGTTAAGTATTAAAAAGAGAAAAAAACTCAAATAAACTTTTGATAGATTGTGGTTATTGTGATTGTAGTGACTTAGATCATTGTAGTATCTTTGTATGAAGAAAATTTTCAAGGAAACACAACAAAGCACATTTTCTGAACAACAAATCTGCCCTTCCATGAAATCATTCAAGTGCCAGATGTTCCAAGGCTACATCTAGTCTACAAGGTGGTTAGGGGTTTCTGATAAAAATTTTCTATTTTGATCGTTGATGGCCCTTGAAAATATCTTTTAAGAAATTTGATGAGATGGTGGATGACTGTATAAGTGCTCAAGTTCACAACCTTATAATCTTCACATGTTGTGAGTTGTACATCATGTGACTACTCTCTGATAGTGATCTTTGAAAGTGGGTCATTTCAGCTTCCTAGGCCACCCACAATTTCATCTTTAACCTATATATCCTACATAGGGGAAATTCAAGCATCTTATATTCTGAAGCTGTTTAGCAGCAAATTTCATTCGTGATTCTGTTGAGAATCTTGTGTAATTGTAGTTTTGACTTCAGTGCCTTTATATGGCATCTTCCATGACTATCTGCTGTAGTTTTATTTCCCCTTGTTTCAAACTCATTATCTTGCATAACCATTTCCAAAAACAAAAGAAACAGAAAATGAAACCAAGGATAAAATTGGACCACAAGCTAAAAAATAGCCACAAGGAGTAATGTATGTAGCCCTATAACTTTTTTAAGTGGATTTGGCAAAGTGTGCTGTTGAAAGGCTTTCTGTGGCACAAGCAATATTATTGTAAAACCCTGTTGCTTGTAAGACTTAGAATCAACAAGTTTCTTCACATCTAAAGACAGTCTTCACTTGTCTCTTGTTTGTAAACATTAGCTGGGATCTCCAAGGTTACTTCCCGATAATTTCCAGTGGTGAATTCTTTATAGCTTAATTATATATATTTTGTATTTTGACAAAATATTTCTTAGCTAATTATAGTTCTTTTTGACTATATTACAACGTCTTTTGAAAGTTGTGTAGTACTGGAATATTAGCATTTGAACTCAATAGATGGTAGTGACTGAGTGATTTTGTGACTTGCCCCGGTAATTGAAAGAGTGATAACCACGGCTTTAGTGGATTTAATTTCGACATTTAAATTTTACACACTTGAAAGGGATAGTGTTCAGAGATCTCTCCTGGTAACGTTTTAGGGCTTAATACGCTTGAATTATAAGCTTTATGGTGGTGAATAAATTACCCATGAACAACAACAGAAAACGAAATTTAATCAAAGTGTTATTCATTTATACCATTCGCTGGTTATTAAGTAAGGGACAGTCCGATCAGCACTGGCTTGCCCCAACTCTAGATTTGATTCTCCTGGTATTTAAATACCCAAAATACAAGAACCTGCTCAGCCTGGCAAAGAAAAATGGGATCTTACGCAAAAGAATCACTCCAATTTTAATTTTTCTGTATTTCAATTGTGTGAGAAACTTCTCACAAAGAGTCATTGTGTATATGTTTTCTCTTGATATACATTCGTTTTGATTTTCACCAGTTCCATGAACCATTATGAGGTACTTAGTACAATATTTCTGCCAATGGTTACACTACGACAACCTCTGAAAAATAAGAACCAGTTAAGAACCTAATCATCCTGAATTGTGAAAAACTACACTCTAAATCAGAAAGATCTGTTTTAGCCCTAAAAATCGTGCCGTTTCGGTGAGTAAAATACAGTCCTATTTTTGGGTCTAATTTGGCTCCCTTAAATCAGGGCCAATACAGTCCAATTAGCTAGGGCTCATTTGGTCCCAGGGCTGAAATGGGCCCTACCGTGGGCTGGAATAGCCTTTTGCTCAAATGGCTCCAGGAAGGGCTGAATCAGACTCCGGCCTGCAGGGCCGAATTGACCCTTTAGGACTGAAACGGATCTTTTTAATTTTCAGCGTACCTCAAAATATAAGAACCTGTTCAGCCCGACCTCGAAAATTCTAGGTTCTTATATGCGGGTTTTACTGTACGTTTTGGGATTTAGGGTTAGGAGACAGGGAATTTTGAAGCTTTTGGTGTTTTGAAAACCTTGACCGGCAGCCGGCCGTAGGTATAACCACGATACGTAGCTATACGTGTAAGCAAAGCACAGTGAACAGTTTTTTAAACATTTCCCCCAAATAACATTGTCAAACTTGAACTAGCAGTTTTTACATTATTAGGTCGATCCATTCATTTCAGTTTCAAGTGTTCAGTTGATTGCGCGCGCTGCGTGGAAATCCTGAAAAAGACAAAAAAAGGTCTAAAATGAGAGAAAATCAAAGTACGACTATAGTGATCTCGTGGATACGTTGTTTCGGAAAAAAGAGAATTGGAAGTCAAATGGAGAAACCTACGCAGAATCAGACTTGATACTTGCTATTCTATCACACGGGAAACACTCTCATCAATGTGATAAAAGAAGACTGAATTAAATTACCATGTTACGTGTACAGCCTTCTTATATTTACGCCAAAATG